ACAGAAACGACAGCCTGGCCTGCCTGTCTGCGAGCCAAGGGTCCCGGGCCCCTGTTTCCCAGGCAGCTGCCGGCCGCTCCGCCACCACCTCTGCCGTCTACTTCCGGCAGATCTTCCTCTTCACTTCCACCCAGCCCAGCCCGCGCATGCGCCACGCCCCCACCACTTGGTACTGGGCTCTTCCCGGGGCTCCGCCTCTGAGTAACCAATCCGGGCAGACGTGAGGGGCGGGGCTTGGGTGGGGCGGAGGGAGGAGTGGACACGCCCCTAGCATGCCCTTGGAAGGGAATGAATGGAGCCAGGCAGAAAGACTCCCTTTGAAAGAAAAGAGAAACAGCAATGAATTCCCCCCACCCCCAGCACCTCTTTCATTTAATAAGAAAAAAATCTAGAGATTCTTTATGTCAAAAAGTTAAAAAACACCCCTTGCCTAGCCGGCATAGTTCAGTGGTTGAGCTTTGACCTATGAACCGGGAGGGCACGGTTTGATTCCCCGTCAGGGCTCATGCCTGGGTTGCAGGCTCAATCTCCAGTGTGCGGCAGCCAATCAATGATTCTCTCTCATCATTGATGTTTCTATCTCTCCCTCTCTCTTCCTCTCTGAAATCAAATAAAAATATATATTTTTAAAAAACACTAAAATATTCTCATAACTGCCTCAGGAGTAGATCTTAACCTTTCCACATAGAGAGATGACTTCATATCTGCAGGCCATTTGGACTAAACCTAATCTGAGTTCATTATGCGTTTCCTCTGGCTCTTCTTGTGGTTCTTCTTAGACGTTTTTGGAGATTTTGAGTGTACCCTGTGTCTGTGACTAAGGGGATCTGTGTGGTCTTGGACTCCTGCTCTGATGCCTCTCTCGGTGGCAGGGAAGGGCTCCTCCTCTTGGGAGACCTACTCCACCTTCAGAGAGACCCGCTCCTACTCCTGTAGAGCAGTGTGGGCAACACGGGCCTAGTCTCCGTAGCTGGCTTCTCCAGCGGTGATCAGGTGATGGTACTACCCTCTGCACGTTCTCATCCTCTTCACTGGACTGGACATCATCCATGTCCTCTCCTAGAGCGCTAACCCGAGGCTCCAATTGCTCAGCTTCCTCTAGCAACATAGCGTTTCTGTAGCCGGGGCAGAATGATGTCACATCGACTCTCTCAGAGCAGTAGTTCATCAATGAATTCATCTACGTGCATCAGCTCAAAATCCCCATTTCAGTTCTGGCTCTTGATTTTTCTATAGCCATTGTACAGAGGCTCCATGAACTCGTGGCAATCTATTGCAGTGCCTGTCAGCCTCATGTAAAGTGCTCCCGACATGGACATGCGAATGCACTTGAGGCCTTCATTTTTTATAAACTCAACAATGATATCCTTCTCTCTGGTTGAATCTGCAGCAACTTCAAGGTCAAACACAGAAAGGGAATTGGCTTTATGTTGCCACCATAGACGCCACCCACAAACTTTAACTCCATGGCTTTATTGCCTACAAGTTCAGCTGTCGGTCCAAAGCACTCCTCTTTCCAATACTTGGACTCATAGATTCGATCTGAATAATCTCCTCCACCAGATATTGAAGGTTGGTGCAGTGGATGCTGTGGGATCCTTCACCCTGCGGTTCACCATTTTTAGGACCTGGTTCCATTTATCTAGGCGTTCATGGATGTGTCCTGACTGGGGATCAGACCGTAACCTCGGCGTATCTGAATGACGCTCTAACCCACAGAGCTACCGGGCCTGGTTCAGATTGATTGATTTTGTAAGTTTCCTGATCCCCATTTATCTCATCTTAAAGGCACATACTCCGCCCCTCCCCGTCCCCTTTCCCACCACGATCCCTCCCCCAGGTAAGTAATGTGAAATCCACAACTGAGCTGCCACCAACGTTCCTCGCCCCCTGCCCCCACAAGCTTGCTGTCTTTGTGCAGAGCCAGATTTCTCTTAAACCTTTATGTGGTTGAGTTTATCATTCATACACAGCAATCGACATTTACTGAGCACTTACTTTGTGCCAGGCACCATGCTAATCTCTTGACAAGAATTATCATAATACATATAGTCCTCATATCATTGTTAGATACATTCCTGCGCCCCATTATGCCCTGCTTGGGGCTCTTGCCCCTCCCGGCGATTTTCCTGTTATTCTCATTATAGGCTTCATGATTAACAGCCTTCAGTTTCCAGGAAACTGCCTCATCCAGTTTCTAGTGGACTGCCTACACCTGGCCCCCACCTGTACCTCGTCTGACCACTTACTGTGACTGACCTTTACAAGAGAAATAAGTATCGCTGCCCCCCTGATGCCATTTTGGACTCAGCCCTTCTGCTAGCAGAGGTAAAATAAGTTTATAATCCTTTTTTTAAAATATAGTTTTATTGATTTCAGAGAGGAAGGAAGAGGGAGAGAGAGGAGAGAGATAGAAACGTCAATGATGAGAGAGAATCATTGATTCGGCTGCCTCCTGCAAGCCCCCTACTGGGGATTGAGCCCACAACCTGACCATATGCCCTGACCGGGAATTGAACCGTGACCTCCTGGTTTATAGGTTGATGCTCAAACACTGAGCCACACTGGCCAGGGTGAGCTGGTGGGATTTAGATAAGATTTTGGACTTGTAGTTAATACTTGAATGGGCTGGGACTTTTTGAAATGAGACAAATGTATTTTGCCTGCAGGACAGACACAAATATTGGGGGTGGGGACAGAGAAAGGACTGTGGTAGGCAGAATAATAGTCCCCCAAGGATGTCCATCTTCTAGTCCTCTGAACCTGTGAATCTATTATATTACATGGCAAGTGGGTCTTTGTAGATACAATTAAGGATTTTGAGATGGAGATTTTTATCCTGGATTATGCAAGTGGGTCTAATGCAATCACAAGGGTCTTTAAAGGTGGAAGAGGAAAACAGGAGAGAAGCAGAGAGAGATGTGACGACGGAAGAGTAGTCAGAGAGATGTAACTTTTCTGGCTTTGAACATGAAAGAAGGGGGTCATGAACCAAGACATGTGGGCAGCCTCTAGATTCTAGAAGGTGGAAAAGGCTAAGAAACAGGCTCTCCTTGAGAGCATCCAGAAGGGAACACAAGAAACAAGCAAGGGGTAAAACTGAGGCAAAGAGTCAAGTCCAGAGGCAGTTGTAATAATCCAAGCAAAAGAGGATGGTGCCCGAGTCACAGCGGGATGGAGAGAGGCGGGTGGATTAGATAAACATATATAAGGCATAGTGACTGGAACATGGTGATAATACTTCTGCGGGAGGAGAGGGAGGGAAGAGTCAAAGCTGACAACCACATTTTTTTGCTTATGCACTAGGGCAAAGGATGGAACCATTGGCTATGTAATCAACACAGGAAGAACGGGTTTGGAGGCAAGCAGATCATTTCGTTTTGGACATATCGAGTGGGTGGTGCCTGTGGACCATCCCACAGAGGCAGTTGGATAGTGGGTTTGAAGCTCTGGGGGAAACATCTAGGTGATAGTCAAAGCCAGTGGAGTGGGTTAGGAAGAACATGGGTAATAAAAAGACAAGGTCAGGATAGGACCCTTTGGAGTGAGAAGCACGGGCAGATAAAAGAAACCCACAGAGGAGCATGAGAAGGAACAGCTAGAGATGTGGGAGGAAATCAGGAGAAAATAGCTTGCGGAAGCCAGCATAGTTTACCAGTGTTACCTCAGAACTGGGGAAGAATTCAGGTGGAACCAGGATCAGGATTGGCCAGTCAGATGAGTTTGGAAGAGCTCTGCTCTACTTGGGAAGGAAGCGGGCTGGTTGGCTTTTCTGCCCAGGCCTGTGAGGGCAGTCAGAGTCCAGGTAGGCAAACCTGCTTAAGACTGGGCTCAACCTAGAACGAGCAGCTGATTCCAAGAAGGGGTTCCAGCTCCTCTCACTGTGTTGTGGTTAAGAGGTTCATGCTCCCCCACCCCACCTTGCTCCATGGGACTAACCAGGGGTGGGCAAACTTTTTGACTCGAGGGCCACAATGGGTTCTTACACTGGACCGGAGGGCCGGAACAAAAGCATGGATGGAGTGTTTGTGTGAACTAATATAAATTCAAAGTAAACATAATAACATAAAAGGGTACGGTCTTTTTTTTCAATAGTTTTATTCATTTCAAATGGGCCGAATCCGGCCCGCGGGCCGTAGTTTGCCCACGGCTGGACCCTCTTCCCAGCGAGGAAGAGGAAGCATGTCACCTGCCCTGTGTTCTGAACATTCTCCCTGTCCCCTGCCTTTGCTTACAAAGTTCCTTCTACCTAAAATGTTCAAAGCTTGCCGGGTACTTCATGGACATCAAGAGGCATGCTCAAAGAGGTGAAGTGACTTGCCCAGGGTCACACAATTAGTATGTGGTAGAATCAGGGTCCAAGTGTAGCTGAATGTAATAGCTGAGATTATAAGTTCCAATTCCCCAGAAGCCATGATCTCTCCCTCGTTGAGTTCCCACAGAGCTTTTGGTCTTTTCTCCCCATTTCATCTCCCGAAGAGTTCCATGAGAAAGGGGCTTTTATTCAATTTGTTCTCATCGTGTGCTGCAGACGATGACCACGAGGCGGCGCCAGAGCCCCAGAAAGCCCGATTTACTGCTGACCAGGAACAGAGGACTTGGTGGGAAACCGAAGAAAACAGGTGGGCTGCCTTTTCTACATGCCCGCTACGTCCACCCCTCCTTCCCAGCAGAGTTAGGGAGAAAGAATCAGCAGATTGGAAGGTTAGAGAATAGAGATCCGAGGATTGTATACTGGAGTGGCCCAGCCCTCAAGTCAAACAAGATTCTAAGAATTCTCTAAACGGGATAGAACCAGCAAAACAACAGCTGTGGCAAGCT